GCGCCAGGAGCGCCACGGCCACCACCACCACCAGGCACTTGACAAGACTAGTAGCCATGGCGCATGCAGGTAGCGCAGTGATGTGCTGTGCTCTCGATCGACCTCTGCTGGCTTTGGCTAGCTGCTGCGGATCGTCGTCGGAGATGGATGCACACACGAGCTGAGGTTCTTATGGCCGGCCGGACACCTGGATCGGAGGCCTCCTCAACCTCAACTGCAGTCGTCTGCACTGCACTTGAGGGCGGGACTTATTGTTCGAGTACGTGATACTCCTACAGTCTCCTACCTCCTAGTATAATTTGACTGCCTTTGAGTTGAGACTTGAGAGCGAGATAGATCGAGAGCGCTAAGCTAGCTTAGCTTATTAGCTAGTGCCTGAATTGGAGGTCAAGCGGCTTACATGGCAAGTCGCGTACGAGGGGACAAAGTGACATACTACTGCAGGGCACACCAAACGTATATACTCTGCTACATGTGTTTGTTCCCATTCATCTCCAGCTGTAAAGAAAATACTGGTAGCGTACAAAAGCTGCTCCATGTATCATGCCGCTCCCATGGGCTCCGTCTGGCCTGCCGGAAACATTCAGGCGAAAGTCACGCTCGTCTCGGTGCTCAGGTCAACCGCTAGCTACTCTAGTAGCTTATAAAAGTCTAGAGCATCTTCAATAGTTCCCAAATATCCATCAATGAGTTTTTGAAGTGTTTAAAACAATTTAGGAGTACATTTGTTCACTTTTTTAAAAATAACTTCTAAAATATTGCTCCTAAAATATAAATATAATTTTGCATCAAGAATCCTAGATTATTTTGAAATCATTCTAACTATTTTTATATTTTCTTTCTCTTTTGTACATGTGACAAGGAAATGCAGTGAGTGCATGGTGAATTATACCTCATCTGATACTGAAGCTAGAGCCCAGTTCGATTTGGCTTGTTTGGCTGAAAGTACTATTGGTTGATTTGGTGTGAGAGAAAAATACTGTTCATTGGCTGAAAAAATAAGCCAAACAAGCTCAAACGAACATGGTGTAAGTCTGGGAATAGATATGGTGCATCTGGATCGTGTGCAGGAATGAGTGATGAAGAAGTAATGAAGATCAAAGCACCACCTATATGACAAGAACACAGGGAAGACTAAAGGGGAAGAGGTTTGTTTCATTCCTAGACAAAATTGAGAAGAAGAATAGATCGAAGACTGAAGAGTCCAATTGGAGCAACGAGAAAAAGACTTTAGGAAAGCAAGCCACAGAGGAGGTAACCAAAGGAGCAAAGAAAAACAAGTCGAAGGGTACCTCAACTAAGATAACACCGCACTGGAAGATCTGAAGACAGCAGGACATAACAGATCAAGATGCCCAAATGCTACTACCTGTGCAGCTAGAAATAACCGAAGCTGAAGACCAATTACCGAGGAAAGACTTGAGCAAGCTTGAGCAAGCTTTGTGTTATATAGTTGGTAAGGATGAGGTCTAGGAAAATCAGGTTCATTAGATATATATTGTTAACCTGTGTGTATGCTAATTTCCAGTGTAACTATGTAAGTGTGTGCATCTACGTATGACTGTTCAGATCAAACTTGTGTGCAAGTGTATTTTGGTAAACCAGATTGTAATATTCAAGTTTGTAAACAACTTTCTCTACCTTAATACAAAGACGCGTAAGCCTTTTGCGTGTTCGAGAAGAAAAAATATTCAAGTTTGTTGATTGAGACATCAGTCTAAAGATTGTGTTCTATGAATTTGAAGTGTTGTATTAAAATTATGAATGAACGTCCTAAGTGATGGATTCCAAATGTGTACCATATCATCAACGCCTATTTGACCATGAATCTTTTATATTTCACTGCCTTTTGTTCTATGAAGACCGAGAACCATTTTAATAATACAGAGCAGCTACAGATACTAGGCCAGGCATCTAACCAACTATGGCTTAGAGGGGGTGAATAGCCTATAAAAAATTCTATAATAACACTTAGTAAGTAGGTTAGATAAATAAATGACGAAGCGAATGTTGCGCTAGCCTACTAAAAGAGCAAGCCACCTACCATAATTCTAGTGACTATGATCACTAAACACATAATTTGCTAAGTCACTATACTAAGTTAGTGAGCTATCAAATGCTAACTAAAGAGCTCCACTAACCCCTAGACTCGACACAAGCTAGCTCTCAAAACTAGTTACACTAAAGAGCTAGGTTTACACACTAGGAATGTAAGGTGAAGGTCTAGACCGTGGCTAAAGACGGGCGTGGGCGCTGGCCCTTTGACACCGGTAAATTAGTAGTTTTCACGGCGGATGTGGCCGCCACGGGCCATTCCACCAGCGAATTCACCAACGATGCGAGGAGCCATCGCATCCTTCTCAACAGACGAGAGTGCGCGACTGTCCCAACTGTCGATGTTTTGTAAACCGGACTAGTAATTTTATACGATTGCCGCGCTACTCTATGAAGACGATGATAACATCCAATAGACACGAGGATTTATACTGGTTCAGGCTGGAGCCCTACGTTCAGTCTCAGAGATGATCGAGTTCGCGTTGCTCGCTTGAATGATTTGAAGTTCTTACAATGGGGGGGGTTCAAAATGATGGATGAGATGGAAGGACCTATGCTAGGCGAAGGACTGTCCGAAGAGAAGCCTTGGAGTGCTTGTTTTAGCTGGGCCTTGGTCGCTCGGACTTTCGCTAACGGGTAAGTTGTGGGCCGCTTGGCCTGCTAACTTGTCGGTGCCCTGAGATACCCCGGGGTTGCAACCCCGACACCAGGTATGTATTATCATGTATTATTACCAATGTTTGGTCTTCATTGATTCCCCTACTCTATCATTTCCCACCCCTTCCCTTGCATGAGCTAGGCATTCCAAACAACATATGTATGCCATAATCTAGATCGTTAGCTGTTTAAGCACTGCTCTGATCGATTCTTAGTCATTGTTGACGTTTTCTGCAGGTTTGGATCCAGACCCACATGTGACAAAGTGAATGGCCATTCAGAAGGTGAGCACACAGAAAATCTTTTTCTGTCCTCCAAAAAAAAAACCACACAGAAACTCTTTTGAGACCACTGGACGTTGTGGTACCATGCAAATTGTTGTAACAAATTGTACGCAAGTATTACAAGTTTAGCTTTTACATTTGTCCTTAATAACTATCAACTGATTTGGCTTTGTAACTTGTACTTTTAGTGCTATCAGATAACATTATATTACACGGTGTTCTTGGGTATATATGTTCATGTAGACAACTTCTAATGTGAATTATTGCTCAGGTTGGCATCAAAATATAATTAATCAATTATGCGCAGAATTTATGTGAATTTATATTTTTCATGTATCATTGTAGCATATTAGTGCTAATCGTTTGACCCTCTGTTGGCGTGTTTGACTGACAGCAAGGCTGGCAAAGTTGGGCGTGATGATTGTGATCCCTCTAGTGCCTGTTTCTGGAAAATGGATGGAGATGACAGTGATCGTCCAAGCAGGTATATGTATAGACGGTCTTAATTACCCATGTGAAGACCGATTATCGTCTTGTCATGATCATACATTAGCGCCCGGCCTCCGTCTTGTCATGTTCATCTTTCCTTAAAGGTTCAGGACAAGTGAAATATGTGTTGCGTGAGATGAGTTGCAAGCAACGGAACGTACAACTTATTGTTAAACGACTTGTGGCTTGGAGGACGACGTTGAAGCCGGTGCATGCACCATATATAGGTGTCTGGCCAGACGCCGGCGAACCTTTCAAATGCGCCATGGCATGCATGACGGCCGTCATCTTGGAGAGCTCACTCTGGTTGACCTAATCAGAGCGGCACGCCTGCCCGATCGCACACGGATTAAATGCGGAGCAGTATCGTGTCAACTCGTAAGCGCATCAATTAATCTTGCTGTCCGGTCCGCACAGCATGCACAAGATATGGAATGACTAATTAGCAAGTTCAATTTTATTTCTCATGGGCTTGTTCAAATGAATTTTAACGTTAAATCAATTTCTTCATAAAGATTTCCCCATGCATTAACACATTAAATAAATTGTTCTTAATTGGTAAACAAATTTATTATATATATGACCGCATATATATAGCCAAAGGATTATTATCTGGCTAGCTGCGGGCATCAACGGCAAGTTGGCAACGTGCAACAAGTGTAAGTGTAGCATGCAAACTTAATAGGCCCTGGAAGTGACCATGGAGATGTCGCCGGCGCCGTTGAACCTTGCGACGGCACAGTCGGTGGCGAAGATGTCCGAGGAGACGTACTTGGGCGCCCCACCCATGACCGGCATGTTGGAGCTCACGCTGAGCCGGTGAACGTAGTCGGAGCGGTAGGTCTGCCCGAGCACGCCGTCCACGTCGTCGGTGAGGCCGAAGAACCTGAACCCGAGGTCCAGGTGCGCGAGGCTGTCGTCCTCCGTCACGCCGTAGTTGTGGACGCGGGAGTCCTCCTGGGTGATGGGCACGGCGTTGGCCACGACGTCGAACACGCCCTCGAGCTGCACGCGCACGCCATTGGCCGCGGCCGTCCTCGTGATGGTGAGCCCAGGCACGGCGGCGGACTGCCACGCGGCGCCGGTCTCGGTGGGCACGTCGATGGGCGCGCCGTCGAAGGCGAGCTCGAGGCGGTCGACGTCGCTGTCCCACTTGGCCGTCTTCTCGGCGCCCATGTACAGGCGGTGGTCGGCGAAGCGGATGCCGAGCGCCTGGATCCAGGTGAAGTCGCGGCGCATGGCCGGGTTGCGCTTGCCGATGAAGTGCGCGTTGATGTGGAGGCCGGCGTCGGTGACGATGCAGAAGTCCTGGTCCTTCTTCCCGTGGAAGTAGAAGGTGTTGCCGTCGCCGCCGGTGAAGCGAGGGTCGCCGCACGACACGCCGGGGTAGAAGTCGCACACTGTTTGGAGTTTGGAAACGAATTGAATTAAAAACGAGCTGAGAAGAAGCAAGAATGCATGCATGTGCATGTGTAGTGGTAGGAGTAGATAGAGTAGACTAGTAGTAGTACGTACTGCAGAAGGTCTTGCATCCCGGGCAGAGCACGACGCACTGGTTAGGGCACCGCTTCTCGCACTTGGCCAAGCACTTGGCCTTGTTGTCGTTGGGGTCGTCGCAGGTCATCTGCTGGTCCCTCTTGTACTTGCCCGGGTTGATGATGCGGTATTTGGGCGGCAGTGGCCTCTGCTGCGCAGCGACGGAGACGGCGGCGGCGCACAGAGCCAGGAGGGCGGCAAGCACGAGCACGAACGCACGAGAAGCCATTGTTGGCCACTTGGCCTTGGCCGGTCACACTCACAATGCACCCGGCCTGTGTTAATTGGAGATATATAGAGGTATCCGCGGCGCGGTGGTGGTGAGGAGCAGGGCATGGAAGCGCCCCAATTTATAGGATGGGAGAATAGGAGGACACCGCCATTGCCAGCCAAGGTCCTGGCACTGGGAGCTTGCTGAGCCGATGGAGACGCCGCGCGATCTGCAGACCGCAGGGGATCGATCGAGTGGAGATAGCTGCACCTGCAGGAGATCCGCGCGCAGGTCCCCGTACGTCGTTTTCCTTGGAATCCAATCCACCAGATTAACTCCTTCCTTTGGGGTGTCAGTCAGATACTCAAACTCAGATCGACGACGATAGCAGGCATGGCGGTGACGTGCATTCCAGTGCACCAGAAGATGCTCTCCATCAGGTTGCATGCATGCACATCAGGCGGGGGCTTACGTGTAAAGCGGCAAGCATCGCTTCACATGTTGAAATGCGAGCGTCAATTTCAACTAATGAATGAATAGCCCATGCATGCATCCATGAATGAATCTCTATTTGGTCTAGTGCATTTGGAAGATACTAATTAAAGTCAATAATGACACTTGGTAAAATTCGGGAGGCAAAATATATGCCAAATGGAAAAATTTCAACTCTAAAATTAGAGACACATCACAATTTTACTAGGGTTTACACAAAGTTAAACGCTTGTTTAAATGGGGTGCTGCTTACATGGTGGAAAAAAGGGAAGAAAGATTGCATTTTGGGGAGAGATTTGGCTAGATAGAGATTTCCCCTGAAAATCAAATACCCAAAACGTGTACAACATTTATAATGGCAGTGGTAAAATAAATGATGGCTCTCGAGGTCGAGTAGTCTAAAGAAGACGAAGTGAGGTGGGAACTGAACAAGAATGGGACGTCTTTATACGACAAAATCTCTCTATTGTTTTCTTTATGATAGAGGGATACATATGCCCATTTGGTAGCGATTATGGAGCCGCTCCATGCGCAGCTCTGTGACTCTTTCTACCAAACGGGGTCAAGGGCCTCTGCTCCTTGCAAGGCTACCTGCGATTCACATTCTCTGTAGATGGGAGAATCCGTGGGCTAAAAAACCCGGTTCCCCCAACTCCTTCGTCCAGGCATGTGGGGCCTCCCTAAAATGCCCTGGCTTTGTGTGGGAGCTAAAATGCCATAAAACGACACTTGGCGATCGAGGGGCGGGTGCCAGAGTGAGTGGAGCGCGATGCACGGTGGCGGGGCGTCGGAGCTCGGGGACAAAGCGTGAATGGTAGCGTTGGGGAAAACAACATCGGAGGGGGCATAATGCGGGGCTTGGGCCGAATAGATAAGAATTGAGGAGAGATAAGGAAAAGAATAAAGAAATAGAAGAGGAGGAAATAATAAATAAAAAACAATATTATGGCATCTCATTCTTTTCATCTATCAAGAGAAATTGTTATACTATAACAGCTTTAGCTCCATTAGTGGAGCTGCTCGTGGAGCCAGAGCTAAAAAAAAAAAAACTGCTCCACTGGTGAAGTAGAGAAGAGATGCACCAAACGGACCCATAGTAGGACGGTTGGTATTATTTAGAAATGCAGGATTCCTCCTAAGATCAAATTCTTCCTATAGTAGTTATTTAATGGCAAACTAGAGGTTGCACATGTTACCAAGAAGAAAGTTGCTATATTTCATGTGTCTGGATTTTTAGAAAATTCAGGCAACAAACTTACTCAATCAGCTAGTACAATTAAAAGAACAACTCACAAGAGACAATTCACATTTTTTTCTATAGTCAAACAATGACAAAATTACATGTTGCCCAGGACAATAATAAAAGATATGAAGCATCTAATAAGATATAGTAGAAGTGTATGAAAAAGAGAGGATGGAGGACAACTCACAAGAGACATTTCACATCTTTTGTCTATAATTAAATAATGACAGAGCTACATGGTTCCTAAATAGTAATAAAAAATCAAGCACCTAAGATATATACAGGAGAAGTGTCCGTGAAAGAGAGGATGGAAAGGGAATATGGTAATAGTGTTGTGTGTGACGGTCCTTGGAATACCCCTGCCACCACCCTGTCTCACAGTGATACATGCACAGGCATGCACACCGTGGACTTTTGCACCGTCGATCGGAAGCAAAGGCCGGCCGAGGCCCGAGGGCTGGTGCTGCGTGCCTTGAGCAGGACGTGCGCACGCCGGCCTGCCGGGCGGGCATCTGGGCATGAACATCAGCACATGCACCATATTTGGATCGAGGCGCTCTCGCTTCGCCACCAAGTACGCCGGCCGGCTACGCGCTTCCCACGACAACGCAAGCAATGCAAGCTAGCTATAGCTGTGTACTGGAGGAGTCTGTAGTATCTATCTATCTATATATATCTCGCTGGATACAGGTACAAGAGGTCCGGCGTGCCCATCTTCCGCGCGTCCCACTAGCTAGAATTAGCCTTCGACGACGAGGCGAGAGCTAGTCCGGCCGGAGTCGACCGACGGCGCCGCCGTGTGCGGGGCCTCTGCTAGCTACGGCCTCACCGCCGCCGCCGCCGTGCTCGGCCAGACGTGCCGCTGCACCGGATGAGAGCGTGTGTCCACCCGCCGCCTCATACTCGTATTGTCATGCTTGTGGGGCGTCCGAGTACATGTCCTACGCCGCCTACGACGACAGCTTGTGCGCGCATGCGCCGTGGCGAGGCGCGCCGGCATCTCCGTGCTGCTCACCACTAATTAAGCGACAACGTAAATGGGTGGAATGTGTTCCACTAACAGCTATAGCCTATAGCATGATGCACACGCGTCCTCGCCGTGTTAGTGACATGATCCTAGCTATATAGATAGCCAAAGTACGTGCTCTTTTCACGACCATATGGAAAACAATCTTTTACCTTTTGGTCAATACTCAATACGTGTCGTGGGAGGTGTGGGATAACTTTTCTCTTCTTCTTTTTTTTTCACCGCCAAGCGCCAAGGCCTAGCCTATTCATTGGCTAGGCTGACTGATGTAGAACCTGTTTGAGGGTTTCGGCTTCTGCATTTTAGTGCTACTCTAGCAGCAGCCGGTGAAGGTTCTCATGACTGGCTTCAGCAGCTTGTGCTATTTGTAAGTTTCTTTTGGATTAGAGAGAGAAGTGTATGAGAAGTAGTATGCATGGGAAGTGTTAAGCAAAACAAAAAAAGTTAGATGAGGTCATAGTATGAGAGGTGTTAATGGCGGTTAAAATTGCACTTTGATATGAGTTTGGGACTTAGGAAATTCCCTTACTGCCAATCTCAACATAGAGGGGGTAAGCACACCTTCCTAAGCTAACTTTACTCGAAAAATACAAACAAAACAACCAAATAACTTCTAAGCATCTTGTGTGATGCTCGCGGAGCCTGAGATGCCATGTTCGCTTGGTTTATAAGCCATACTTTTTCAGCCAACGAACAATATTTTTCTCTCACAACAAATCAACCAACAGTACTTTCAGTCATGGTTTATCAGCCAAGCGAACAATGCATTAGCATACCGAAAACATAGACTCAAATCAGCTTGCATCCATAGCTGTAGGTAAACAAACACTTTTTTCAGAAATAAATACGATTCTACTCAGCCTACGTCCCTTCAACCAAGATATACGATACCCTGAGCTTTTACTACAATGCACCGCTACAGTGCAGATGTTGGAAGAAACTGAACAGCAAGAGCCGTTGTGAAAGATGGCCGTAAACCAGGTCGTCCGTGTGGGTCCAACGGCGATCGAGTAGTGTAACACCACCCGCAGTCCCGCACACTGATCACTGCACTCCTCATGTGAGCAAGCACGAGTTCATTTTTTTTAAAAAAGAGATTTGTCAAGTTGCAAAATATAATGGTCATCCAAGATTTGCCAACAGTACATTTCACCGGCGAAAACACACAAAAAAAACGCACTGACAAATATAGGGTGAGTCTCTGTCTTGCTTCATAAAATGCACGCGCGCGCTCGGCGCTTTTGACTTTGAACCCAATTGGCACATATATAATGCTGGCGCTGCGCTTTGCGTGATCGCCAATTCGCCGTGACATGACGTCATTCCAAGCTAGCTTCCTCTTAGCCCCTGTGGCCTGTCACCTGTGAAGTGAAGGAATAGATCGACGAAGACCCTGCCGAGTGCCGACCGACCCACAACGGCGGCGCCGGACTCGCGTTGTGGTCGCGAGCTAGAACGGCAAAGACCCTGCCGGCCGGCTCGTTCCTGCATGCCGCGTCGACGTCGTCTCGCAGTGGCAGCTGTGCGCCACGCGTTCGCTTGTGCACGACGCCGCGCACCACCCGGCCGGCGGCGTTCACCGATCCATCCGCCCGCCGGGACTCCCATCTCCATTTCTATATACGGTCTCGCCCAGTTGACCCGAGGCTTTTGTTATCTGGCCGGCCGGCGGCTGCATAAATACAGCAACCAAGCCCTGCCTAGCTCCCTCCGATCCTCCCGAAACGCAGCCTGTCGTACACGTCGTGGCAATGGCTCCTGATGCGTGTGTGCTTCTGCAGCTGCTGGCTGCTGCTCTGGTGGCGGCGATGTGCGCGGCGGCGGTGGCGGCATCCACCCAGCAAGCTGCTCCTGCGCCGCGCGGCGGCCTGCGCCTGCTGCCGTTGAACTACCACGTGCTCACCCAGGGAAGGTACAAGAGGAACCAGCAGCTGACGTGCCCGGACCCCAAGACGAAGCAGCCAGGGTGCATGGCCAGGTGCGAGTCCCGCTGCCCCGACCAGTGCATCGTCGTCTGCCCCGGCTGCAAGACCTACTGCAGTACGTACACACTACACTATTGCACTAGATCTGCCGCGCCCGCCGCCGTCCAAAAGTCCGACTAGCTCTTAACTTGCTTCCAACGCATGCAAGTCTGCGACTTCTACCCCGGCATGACGTGCGGCGACCCGCGGTTCACGGGCGGCGACGGCAACACCTTCTACTTCCACGGCAGCAAGGACCGGGACTTCTGCGTCTTCACCGACGCCGGCCTCCACATCAACGCGCACTTCATCGGCAGGCGCGACCCCGCCATGAACCGCGACTTCACCTGGATCCAGGCGCTCGGCATCCGCTTCGCGCACCACCGCCTCTACGTGGGCGCCCACAACACCGCCAGGTGGAGCGGCAGCGACGTCGACCGCCTCGACCTGGCCTTCGACGGCGAGCGCGTCGCCATCCCGGCGCACACCGGCGCCGCGTGGCGGCCCGCCGCCGCGCCTGCGCTCACCGTCACGAGGACGGCCGCGACCAACGGCGTGCGGGTGCGCCTCGAGGGGGTGCTCGACGTCGTGGCCAACGTCGTGCCCGTCAGCGAGGAGGACTCCAGCGTGCACGGCTACGGCGTGGCGGAGGACGACTGCCTCGCGCACCTGGACCTCGGGTTCAGGTTCCTCGACCTCACCGACGACGTGCACGGCGTGCTCGGGCAGACCTACCGCTCCGACTACGTCAGCCGGCTCAGCGTCACCTCCAGGATTCCTGTCATGGGCGGCGCGGCCGAGTACCTCTCCTCGGATATCTTCGCCACCGACTGCGCCGTCGCAAGGTTCGGCGACAACCGCCGGGACGGCATCTCCATGCTCGCCTCTGCCAGGGCCTATTAATTAAGCACATAGCCATCGATGCAGCGAGCACCGTCGCACGCAACGCACGACGCGCTAATATGGGAATAATATATACTCCCTCCATCCCGAAAATAATGTCATTCTAGCCTCCACAGCTAGGCATGTACGAATGTTGTTGTGCCTTCTACGCATTGTTGCCTGGGCATGGTGGAACACTGTGTTCTCATCCCCATCTCGAGAATAGCTCGATGCTTACTTCTCTGCCTCCAGAAGGCTGCCCTCTCCTTGAGAGCTTGAGCAAGAGTTTCATGACAAGCCTTTCGAACCTGAAATTCAGCAGATGAGAGTGCCCGATCCTCCTCAAAGGAATCAAAAAGTTGTATTAGGAATTTGCAATTAGGAATTATGAAGTGTGGCGCCCAGTTACGCCTTGCCCAAACCTTAGCCGCTGACCTAGTCGATTTGATGCAAGCCGCGAGCTGCCCAGCCGAGTCCAAGCAAGCAGGAGTGTTAACCCATGCCGAGTCGGATAAGAGTAGATTACTTTTTAGAAACATGTAGTTGAAAGAGAGGTTAGAATAATTTTTATAAACATGCAAAACAAATTATATTAATCAATCTTTTTTAGATCGTAATCAATCTTTAAAAATAAATAATTGTATACCTGCATTAATCAATCTTCTGATGTGTCAAGGCAGAGAACTGTAGGTGTCCATGACGACAGGTCGGCAGCTACAGACGTGAATGCGGCACCGACCGCTGGCACTACTATGGTAATGCACTTTAGGGGCAGCTAAATGTGATTATCAGGGGTGGTTTGCCCAACCGCTACTGACCCATCGATTGTAAAATGGGGCAGCTCTAGCGATGGGCTTTTAATCGCCCCTGAAGATAGATCTTCAGAGGCGGTTCCGTTAGGAAAACCGTCCCTGAAAATGCCATGTTCAAGGCCGGTTCCATTAAGACAACCGCCTCAGAAGCTCCATCTTGAGGCGGTTGACTTAAGACAACCGCCTCTAAAGATCTATCTTATGAGGCGGTGGTGATACGACAACCGCCTCTAAAGTTCAATTTTTAGGTGCAATTTTATTACGACAACCACCTCTAAACAATTTTCTCCGGGCGGCTATTGCAATGCAACCGCCCCTCAAAATCCTTTTAGCAAGGACGGCTGTTGCAGTGCAACCACCCCCGAAAATGTATTTTTAGAGGTGGCAAATCAAACCGCTTATGAAAATCAGTTTCAAACTTTTGAATTTGAAACTTCCCGCCATATTTGAAATCGCGTTTTCCCACCAAATTTCAGACCCAATTGCAAATGATTCAAATTAACTTCATATATAAATAGTACCGAGTCAGAGTAAACTAGTATACACACATCATCAATAAAATATTTATGGCACAAGGTCTGAAATTGACATTTAAACTACAAAGCAACATTATTTGTGCCTGGGCCCAAGCAAATGAAAGAAGGGCTTCGATGTGGCAGCACGAAGATGCTCATACTTTGGATGTGTCGCATACTCCGAATCAGGATCAAAGAACAAACCCCCGGATTAACAACCTCCCGGATCAAGAACTTGCAAAAATCATTTTGAACTTGTTGAACATCGGCTTGGGAAATCATTTCATTTGGCCTCAATGGAGCATGCTGCACGTAACAAATGGGGAACAATTATTAGCTAGATTCATAATAATGGACATATGCATATGATATGGTTCGATAGATCGACTTACGTCTTGAGGGTTATTGTAGTAACGTCCATTGGCTCTCATCCATTGACATACATAGTAGCCACAAAGCACGCTTCCGGGAGGCTGCCTCGAGCACCGGAGGTCGGTGACATGCAAAAGACAAACAATACAGTGAAACACATTGTTCCACATAATCAATATTCTCGCTATTTGAGTTTGAAAATGGTCATACCCATGGATGTAGAGAGACAATCATCATATCCTTCTTCGCTGGGTCATGCGGGCCACCATTTTTTACGTAATATCTGTTGGCATTGTTTAATGAACAAAATAGTCACTTTCACGTGGAAAATAATGGGATGAAAAATACGTATCTTCCGAAATATTTGTAGGCGCTATTTAATGAACAACTTTATTATTGTCATCGAGATCTGATTCATTAGTTAACAAGGACAAACATTGCAAAGAAGTAATTCTATTGAGACTTGAACACAAGCTAATTCTGACAGGAAACTTAGTTTCACAAGTAATAAACTACGAATAATTACTTACGTTTGTAACACGCTGAGAAAACCTTGGAACGATTATGCGGCCAGCTCTCAAATTGATGGTTGCTAAGATGAAGTGATCCTGCATTAACTAGTACAAAAAAAAGATAATGGTGAATATATATAAACCATCTATCAAATAACATGAAAAAAGATACTAGTCGATGTTACTTGAAGTGGTACGGGGCTTCTATATATTGCCATCCCTGATGAGCTAAGAACGCCTTCCCAACATATAATGCAGTTTCATTCTTTGCTCGGGTGTGCGCAGCCTTCACAACTTCTGCTCTCGCCTGGCCCTTCAAACCCTTAGGTGCAGGATCACCACTACTCCAAAACAGAGGTCCAGCATGTCTTGCCTCACAAATGTAATTTGGGTCAAGGTATGTGTTCCTAGCATTCAACTTGGCAGAATCCATCCACTCTTTGCTACATGAAAGTATGACACATGTGTGGTTAACAGGATAGCACACAAGCACATATAAGCAAATATGACGATGAGTTTAATAAGCACACACTACTTACATGCACCATAGGGTAAGCTGACTTAAGTCGAGTCTCTTCAGCGGTATAAAAATTGAATGTCTTCGAAAGGCATGGTCAATTTCTGAAAGTTTACATCCTCATGACCGAATATGTCCTTAGCTAGGTAAGTGAACGGCACTCCCTCTAAGCCGAGTTCGACCGCCCACAAATACCACTTCTGAAATACCCTCATGTATGACAATCTATCATTGCATCTAGGGCAAAATCAGGTAGGAATTCCTTGCCTGGCACATAATCATAGGGGCATTTGACAATGTTTTGCTCCATCATCTCTTTAACTAAATCAATGCTCACCAAGGCTTTGCTCATTAGGTGATTTCCAGCAAAGATTGTTTCCTTGGGCTTATTGGCCTTGGCATTTGGAGTAGACGATGCTACCCCCTTGCCCTGTGCTATAGAAGAGTCATGGGGGTTCTTTTTTCTAAGAGACTTCCACATCGCAGAAATGGCAGCATCCGGTGGGTCGCTGTTAACGGTAGTTATCAACCAATATTAACCGTCAACTAAACATGAAAAGGGTATAAAAGGAATCACCAACATAGAATAGGGGTTAAACTGATAGAATTCCACAAGTTTTGGTGAATCTATGTGTCGGTGCAGAAAGTGATCAACAAGTAAATATTTGTCGTTTTGCCATACGTTGTGATCGGATGTAGCCTAGCACTCAATGACACAGGGTTTATACTAGTTCAGGCAACGTGCCCTACGTCCAGTTTGAGTCAGTCGGTGACTTTATTCTTGAGCCTAGGTGCTCGAAGTTTGCTGTGGGGTTACAAACAAGTGAGAGTAAGATGGGGGGTACAAGAGGTTTGGTCGGATTCTGGACTGAAGGGCCGAGAGTGACGGGAGCTCCTACGTGCTCTCAGTGTTCGAACATGTGCTCTGTGTAGCTTTAGAATGTCTAAAGCTAGTAGAGAGTGAGTCGGAATGATCCGTCTGTTGTTTGTCGGCTGAATCGTTCCTCCTCTATTGGGAGAGAGCGCATCCCCTTTTATAGATGAAGGGGACAACCTTACAAGTGAGTGAGAGAGAGAGAGTGTGTGTGTCTGCTACCTAGTCTTGTTGCCCACGCCGTCGGGTACAACACGGTTTATCGGCGCCCACAATACTGTTGATGCCTAGATGCATTTGATTGGTTCCATCGTGTTCTTCTGCTATGGCAAATGTCGGCGCCCACAACACTGTTCATTGTTCTGCCAGGTCTAGAAGGTTATAAAGTACCCTTATGACATGACCTAATAGTACTATCCTACAGGTGTGCAGGGTACGATCCTTGGTATTGCGTTTGACTTGAGCGCCCTATCTTACTTGCTCCGCCTAATTCTTTTGGGTCCTTACCGAGCGGGCGTCCCCGTTCGGTTGTTTCCCAGTCGGCTCCGACCGCGCCGGTCGGAGAAGAGCTGTAAGTAGAGGTTTGGTGTACTACCGGTCGGAGAGGCGGGTCGGAGTCAGAGGTGAGCGTCCTTCCTTCCTTGGCCAGGCCTTCCGGCCGGAGAAGCGAGTCGGAGTCGGAGGCGAGCGTCGTTCCTTCCTTGGCCAGGCCTTCCGGTAGGAGAAGCGAGTTGGAGTCGGAAACGAGTGTCGTTCCTTCCTTGGCCAGGCCTTCCGGTCGAAGACTAGATTGCTCTTTCGGCCTGTCGTTTAGGTATCTAGGCCGGCCCAGGAGTTTCGCATCATTAGCAACATCGTCTGCTGGACCAAGCTTTTAGCTGGGAAGATGGTCCATTAGGGACCCCGGGTTTATGAACCCGACACTATGTTTTGTAGGGAGTAAACAGGAAAAGAGCCAAAGATGACCCACATGTCGGACTAAAAAGCATATTCCACCGCGAAACCAAGTTGAGAAGAATCTAGAAGACACGAGAAGGCGACCCACGAAGGGGGGCCCACCTGGCACTGGGCCAGGTCGCCGACCCCACCCCAGGTCGGTTGACCTAGGGGCCCACCTGTCAGCCTCTTGCTTCTACGTCGGTTCCTCCACCACCTTAGGGTTTGCATCTTTGCCGTTGATCAAGGTCGGTTTGATCCGAGGGTTCTGGTGCATCACCCAGGCCTATATAAGCATAGCCCTACCCCTTGGTCAGAGCATCCTCATCTTAGGTAGAAACCCTAATCCTCCTTAGTATCCAGAAACCCTAGATAGGATCGGAGCCAAGCAGTCAAGGGAAGATTTAGTCTTGTAGTCTTCCAAAGATTAGGAATAGTCTTATTTAGAAGTAGAGAGATAGAGTGAGAGGGAAGAGTTTGGAGGAGTTGTCGGCCTGTCGGTGGCTTCTCTACGGCTTGTACCTACGGGATCAAGTTCCTTTAGAGCTTGCTTCTGAGATTTCTCCGGTGTTCAACTTCTAATTCAAGTAAGTAACATTGTTATTATTGTTGTTCGGTTTGCGACTCTTTTGAGTACTTTAATCTCGGTAGCTCCTTGATTGAAGTAGTATTCGTAGTGTAAGTGTGGTGTCTAGACTCGGTTACTCGTAGATGCACCCTACCTTCCGGATCGGTGGTAGCTCGTGAGGGTGACTTTATAGCCTTGTTGAATCTTCCATAGTCCACCTCCCGTTTGTAGGACAAGTAGGACCTGTTTGCTAAGGAAAACACCCTTTGCTGGTGTCTTTTCTTAAGTAATGTCCCCATTGGAACAATCATAAACATAGCTTGCGAACGTTAGAACTAGAGACCTTAGTGATCTCTATATCCCTATTATCTCCGTCCTTGTTGCTTCTCAGGGGTTAAGCATAGATGTAGTTTCTCACACGTTTTCCTTGTGGTAAAATATAAATAACAATACTCTGGAATACTCCCGGGTGAAGTGCTACATCGGTATCCGTGCTCTTGCGGATCATTCCTAGTAATTATTCTATGTGCATTAACAAATACCAATAGTCGCTAACCTTCTCAACTCCTCTCACCATCTTAGGGACCGTTTCTAGCTCAGGTGGTGGTGGTGGCGCAGTCGTTTGTGGATGTGGTGTATGTGGCGATGGATGCGCATTCGTTTGTGGCTGGTGTGTTGTGGCCATGGTAGGGATGGAGTTTGTGGGTGTGGTGGCGTCGGCGGAAGCAGGGCATGCATTTGTGTGTGTGCGTGGTGGTGAAGGTACTCTTCGCAAGCTCATCCCACATTTGCACTCCATACTTCCACAGTGTCTCCATTTCTTGCATCAACGGCTCGAGAAAAATATCTATGTCGATGCCTGGTGCTTTCAGCCCTAAAATTATAATGGTCAGCAACAAATACTCTCTTCTGACACAACCATGGAGGGAGGTTGTATATCAATAGGAGAACTAGCCATGTACTATGTGTGCTAGTCCTGTTGCCGAAAGGATTCATTCCATCAATGCTTAAAGTGAACCTTATGTTTCTCAGATCTTCATGAAATTCTTGGTACTTGGCATCGAAGTCCTTCCACTGTTGTGCATCGGATGGGTGACGTAGCACTCCATCGTCTTTCTTGCGATCATCCGAAGCCCACCATCGCATTAGCTCTGAGTCCCTTGGGTTTGAGAATAAACGTCTCAAGCGATCAACCGGTGATAAATACCACATTACCAATGCAGGGATTCTTCTTTGGTTAGTATCATCTACTGCTAAGGTGCTGTTGTCCTCCACAACATTATGAGAAGATGCATTTTTCTTTCCGCCCTTCTTTCTCTTTTTCCTAGTGTCACTACCCATGTCTGCCTCACTACAGTTGTCGTTCCTTTTGTATCGACTAGTACCACAGGTTGGGCAATTCATTAGGTCTTTGAACACCCCACGATAAAGGATACAATGGTTTGGACACACATGTATTCGTTCCACACCCATCGTCAGTAGACTGATAAGCTTCTTCGCTTGATATGTGTTGGCGGGCACAAAGTTTGATTTAGGAAGCACAGCAGCCAACAGAGTCATTAGGTCGTTGAAGCTCCTATCGGACCAGCCATACTTAGCCTTCAAAATCAGTATGTCCAGCACATAACGTAGCAACGACCATCTTTTCTCACAACCCTTTTCCTCTGGGTAGAGACGTTCTTTCCTTGCCTTCTGTACCGTCTCCAAGTTACTTAGCCCTTTCAATAGTAATTCTTGTTCTACGTGAAGCAACATGTCGTCCAGGAAGTCTTCTGCTTTCACTTCTTCGTTTCATTCACCATCATCCTCTCCACCATAGCCTTCTCCACCACCACAGCCTTCGCCACCACCTCCGTCATCTGCTGTACCCTCATGCATCATGTTAAGATGGGCACCGTCATCTTCCCTTAATTCTGGTGCATCTTACGCTCCCGTGTTGCCTGCTTCTCTACTTCTCTCACCATGATGATCCCAAACCTCATAGTTCTCCATGAAACCCCTTCTTACCAAGTGTGATCTTATCGTATTTGGATCCTGGCATACTATAAGGTTCCGACAATCACAATAGGGACAATAGATATCCCTTGTCTGCTTGATCAATGCGTGTCTTTTAGCGGCTTCAATAAAATAATTCACATCTTGTATGTAGGAAGCTTCATATCTTTTTTTTGTGTAAATCCATGACCGGTCCATAGTTGCCCTTCGAAAACAAAAGGTATATTTATTTGCATCAAGATATGATTCACATATAATTGTTGGAGCAAGTAATTGATGTCTACTCTTTTATACAAATATTATAGTATTCCAGACCTAAAGGTTAAAAATGATAAAATAAATATAGAAAGTTGGGCAGAAATTTGTCTAAATTGCTAGTATAAAAAAATCAAACATCATTCATATGTCTCTCCCTAGCTGGATCTCGAAGTTTTGAATGTGATTAGGGATGCCACAAACTCACCTCTCAAACCCAACTCCTTCAAAGCTTCAAAGGGCAAAACCTCCCCCCTCTATTTTTACGTTTTCTTTGCCTCCAAGTGAGCTGAACAGTGTTGCTCAACGCTGTCCCGAGCAGGAAGAAACCGGATTTAGGGGATCACTTTTAGCGGCGGTTGACTTAAAAGAACCGCCTCTGTTATTACATTTGTAGAGGCGGTTAGGGGCGGTTTGGTAAAAAAAACCGCCCCTAAAAATGGTTCTTCAGAGGTGGTTCTCCTAAACCAACCGCTTCTGAAGGTAGTTATCTTCAGAGGCGGTTCTCTTAATTGGACCGCCTCTGAAGATGGATTTTCAGAGGCGGTTCTCTTAACCCAACCGCCTCTGAAAATGTAGCTATGTTCAGAGACGGTCCTCTTAACTGAACCGCCCCTGAAGATGAATCTTCAGAGGCGGTTATGAAGCTACAGTACTTCCCAGCGCGGTTAGAGGTAGCCTGCTATCTGAACCGCCTCTGTTGGAAAAGGGGTGCGTCGTTGAAATGATTTTTCGTAGTAGTGTGGGGTCCCGGAGATGAAGCTGCTAGTGGATAGGCGTTCACGACGCATGCTGTATGCGGAGGCCCGGAAGGAGGCGCTGGACTTTCTGATCTTCTTGTTGCGTGTATGTGAGTCCGTGCCACGGGAACTGAGACGAACATGACACCGACGGCAGATGACCGCGTTAGGAAAAGACGATCGAACGACATTGGAGACATGGGTACAGATACGCTGGTATGTCCGGTTGTTTCTCTATGTCAAGAACGCGCAAACATAAATTGTGGGCGTAAGATTTGATTTGTTTGTATGGTCCATAACAAAGCTAATTTAAACCTTTAGATCTAATTATTATGAATCATCCAACGATTCAAATATAGTTGGGTACGAAACTTTTGGGTAACAAGGATTTTAAATCCTTCGCTCTTTTATAGTATAGAATATATATATATATATATATATATATATATATATAGATAGATAGATATGTAGCTTTATCATTATTTGACTATAAAAAAATATGAACTATCTTCTGTAAGTTGTCCTTTTGATTATAGACGTCTGGCCAGACACCTATATATGGTGCATGCACCGGCGTTCATGAACCTTATGCTCATCTCACGCAACACATATTCGACATCCGAGATATATAGTGATGGTTGACTAGCATCGAGAGGACGTGATGTATTCAGCAAGGCCGCGTGGCTAAAGGGTTTAGTGTAGTATGAAAACCCTAAAAAGCTCTAGCCAACGAACATCCTTGATCAAACCCTCCAGCTCCTCTGAAAAATCCAGGTCCTCATCCTCCTCTCTTGTCAACGTAAGCCCCTGCAGCCGGTCCTCCAGGCTTTAACACTGAATCCATCTGTTCTACCTCCATCTCCTTCCCCCACGAATCCGCCTGGGCGTCCGACGTGAGCGTTGCCGCCGCCGCCGCCGAGAGGAAGAAAAAAAAAAACCATGGGGAATTGTCTGCCATATTAATATATAGCTGCCTTTTAAAAAAAAAAGGAACCAAGCAGATTGTTCCGACGTAATTGGCAAGCTCCCAAGGAGCACCATTTTGTTCTAAAAAGGGTTTTCAACAAGCAAGCATCGACTTGTTCTTAAAAAAACAAGCATTGACCCAACAGGCCAGCACATGACAGGCAGGTCAATAGTCGATCTTCTAACGAGTCGGGTACGACAGTATATAACTTAAATCACGACGAAAATGCAGTGCTATTACACAAAGTAGCTAGTACTCGCTGGGTATATAATTCCAGATCCAGAGAAGATAAAGGCACAAGCACATGTACCCCCTGTTTGCTTGAGCTTATAAGCTGAATCAGCCAGCCATTCAGCAGTGTTTTTCTCTCATAACAAATCAGCGAACGATACTGCCATGACTTTTCTGCCAAGCGAATAGGGCTACACATACTAGTACTAGGCAATAAATAGGACTGACTCGTATGGAGGACGTGATGGCTTCTAGAATAATATAACTTTTCTTCCACCTAAGTACCCATATCTCTTCCTGCGGCCGCTTGGGAGTTCAATTCCCAACTCATCATCCTCAGATTCATCCTCAACCAAATCGTCAGGACGAAGCCAACATGGCTCAGGCACAGGCCACCTGTAAGTTGTTAGATGCATGCATGTAGTCATTATTTATATATATCCCAAGGGTACATCGAAACTAGCTTAATAGTAACACTTACCTGCTTGGACGATCACTGTCATCTCCAGCCATTTTCCAGAAACGGGCTCTAGAGGGATCACAATCGTCACGCCCAACTTCGCCAGCCTTACTGTCAGGCAAACACGCCAATGCAATAAACGGGTTTAGTAATAGAATCCATACGTGTTTTTATTGAACCTGCTTAAATATAATCTAGCAGGGTTCTTTAAATGTTCAGCTCAAGTGCACATCCTGAATAAAACCAACCTCAAAACCTTAACAGATATGACAAGCACTTGAATACCCAGAAAGGAAATTAAGCTAGGAATTAATACCTTTTTTCCACGAAATGTGCCAGAATGTTGTCAATATCTTTCCACAGAAGGAATGGGGTTCCTATTCTCTTGTCATAGAAGTTCATGCCAATAACTTTGCCATCCAGCATATTAACAAGGGGTCCTCCAATCCCAGCCTAGCAATGCAAGGTAACATGGACAAGTAGTCATTTCTAATCCAAAAATACATATTTGCTACTTCATTCTGATGCTACTATTTATTTACTTGTACTGTGTAAATTGAAGTAGCTAGGCACGAAAAAACAGCAGCAATATATACCTTGGTGATTTTACACGATGACCGTACAATGCACATGCAGTCAAGTGTGCCTGACCAGGAAACAAGCTGCCCACTTGTGGCCATTAATGCGCCTGATATGAAAGAACGCCCTACAGATGCCACTTTAGAACACCCAAACCAGTAAGGCTGAATACTTGCTGGTCGAACAACACGGCAATCCCTGACACCTACTAGGGCAACATTGTAATGTAGACTATAATGCTCTAGCAAGCCCTCTATGCGCCGTTTGTTGGGAAGCAACACTTCAATCTACAAATGAGCCAGTGCGACTTACGTAAATAAATTAGTACCTTAAATATAAAAGAGCAACAATCAAGGAGCACACAAACCCTCAAATTTTCATCAGTCTTGTTTTCATCACTAGAACTTCTAACCAAGCTCGCTGATGTCAGAACAGTAGTAGATCCATTCCATTCAATAAAAAAACCCGTGCATGCGAAATGCCTTTTCCCTCCTGCATGCCATTTTTTTGATTATGTAACAAGTGACGAAAAAATAAAAACATGATAGCACACTACTGTAAATCACCTTTAAATGAAGCTAGTGCGACAACATAGCGATCTATGTCAGAAGAAGCACTTCTACTGAATTCATCCCAGACACCTTCTCGATATGCATCACCAAAAGTCTCTTCAAAAGTATTAACCAAAATCATGCCATCTGAAGGATTTACAAGTCGAATAGCGTTTAGTTGTAAAGCAGAACCGTAAAAAGATAGCAAATTCAGAAGCACTGACTCACCATCAGCCATGTCTATTTGTGGCATAGGGTAACCCAGGGACTCTAGATCCTCACAATATCCGCTGGTCATATCATCTCTGTGTATTGGTCTGTGCACTGGTGCAACAGGGTCAAGCGATTAGCACTAATATGCTACAATGATATATGACAAATATAAATTCACATAAATTCTGCGCATAATTGATTAATTAGATTACGATGGCACCATTAGAAGTTGGTCTACATGAACACACAAAGAACACTGTAATATCAGATAGCACTAACTCTATGGAAGTACAAGTTATAAAACTAAATCAGTTGATAGTTATTAAGTACAAATGTAAAAGCTAAACTTGTACTACTTGTGTACAATTTGTCACAACAATTTGCATGGTACCACAACGTCTGTGTGTGTTTTGAGGACAGAAAAAGAGTTTCTGTGTACTCACCTTCTGAATGGCCATTCAATTTGTCACATGTGGGTCTGGATCCAAACCTGCAGAAGAACATCAACAATGACTAAGAATCGATCAGAGCAGTGCTTAAACAGCTAGCAATCTGGATTATGGCATACATATGTTGTTTGGAATGCAAGCTCATGCACGGGAAGGGGTGGGAAATGATAGAATGATAGAATAGGGGAATCGATGAAGAGCAAACATTGGTAATAATAATACATGATTAAGACATACCTGGCTACCTTTGTCTTCTTTTGCAGGGATGTACACTTCAGCCAATCGAGAATTGAGCCCCATGAGATGAAATGGGCTCTTACAATAACCAAAAAAAGGTTCATGCCAACAAAGTTCCCATCAAAAGTAAAAAGTGGCCCACCTTCCCAAACCTAACATGAATAAAGGTTGGCACACCAAATGAGGTGAAAAGAGCAAGGGTTACATGGGGAAAGGATTTTTTTTTTCTTTGACATGCAGTTTAGTGCATGTCAAAACAGAAACATAATGAAATGTTAGTATCATAACTTAAGTTTACCTCTGACATTTGCCAAAGAGGAGCTTCATTATCTTCACTAGTGAGTATCACATTTGTGGGTACTAATTTGCCAGAGATGCCACGTCCTAAAGCTAGCACCATACCACGGGGCAGAATTTCCACCTTATGTTTGAAAAGTCCAACATGAACATCGAGGGAGGTGCTGACGATGACAATAGCAAAGTTGCGATCTAAATCATATTCAGACAAAACACCCTCGTACACTTCACTGCCTTCATGGCGCACTTTAATCTACAATGTAAGGCAAGAAAAGAACACACAAGGATCACACTTAAATATAACAAGTAAAAAAAAAAGTACAGGACGATTACCAGCACCAACCTTTAAGTTATGGAATTTTCTTTTATCGTCACTGATGAAAGCTCTGGCCAAAGTTGCTGAAGTCAAGAACCTTGTAAGATTCTCCTGGGATTCTATAGCTATGCCTGAGCATGCAAATAACACTTTGTCTCCTACAGATGATCATAACGTAATTATGTAAATAATTTTTGACTGGTGTTAAAGAAAAACTAAAATAGTATAGCAGCATATATAATCACCATTGCACAAAGCAAGTGAGGCAACACTTCTAGACAAATTTGACTTGAGTTCATCACTGAGGCTAGTCCAGTCATATCGGTTAGAGTCCCCATGCAAGTCACCTAGTTAAAGAAAAAAAATCAAACAACATAAACCATGATTGCTCAAATAAGGCTGTGAGAAAACACAAGGAAAGATGAAGAACACGCATACCTAAGGCCATTGACTCAGTTATCATTCCATTACCATTGCGACCTCTTATACTCTTATGTGATCTTCTTGTGAAATCATTATCACCCCTCTTAGTTTTCCGTATCTTTTCTATGACTGAAGCAGTTTTTTTTTTTTTTTTTTTGGGGGATACAAAGGGGCAAAATGTGGTGTTACCAACAGTAAAGCAACGTTGTAAAACTATCAGACCAACCAATCAAAGGGATGCTAATGAAAGGGGACGGGGTACCATACTTGAGGCCAATAGATTATTCTTCTTTCCTTTACCATTGGGAGGTGTTGTGCTCTTATGCGATCTTCCTGCGAGACCATCACCCCTCTTAGTTCTCCTCGTCAGAATATTTGGGTAGGGTGGGGACAAAACAGCAAAATTTGGAGTTAGAAACAGTAAGCAACGTTGTAGAACTACCATAGACCAACCAATCAAAGAGACCCCAATACAGATCTTATATCAAGGTTGATGGTCCACAAAGAAGTTGGCTGAATCAGATAATTTATTAGCTCAACTACAGCGTAGAGGGAGACAGCTATCTGTTACACTTGACCTATCGAAATATGTAACAGCTAGCCTGTTCCTTAGGTTGGCACATGGATGGTATTAGAAAAAACGGGCGTTATCTGAATTCTGAAATCCTAGACACAATTACATGACTGAAAAAAAAAAAGTTACATATGTAAAACCGAATGAAAATGATCGAAGTTAGCGCGCATAACAGATATGCATATAAGTGAGACAGATCGGGGCTTCCACTCAAAACCAATCACACTAACTTCGATTATATTAGGGTTTGGGTGCACTAACTTCGATTGTATTAGGGTTTGGAGGGCTCAGTTTTGCGCAGCAGGGAAGGATGGGAAGGGAAAGGCGCACCTTGTGGCTGAACGTCGACGGCGAAGGGGCTCGACGAAGAGGGAGGCGGCGGTCGCCGAGTCATCGCCGCGAGGAAAGAAGCCGGAGAGGTAAACGGAGATCTTCTCGGTCTTGGAAAATTGAAGGAGCATATATATAGATGACAACGGATAAAACTAGTTATTAGGACCGGACCGGACCGGCGGTTCGACCGCTAAAAGACCGAACCAGAGTCTACACCGGTCCGGTTCACTTAAAAGACCGTCTGTGCAATCGAACCGCTAAAACCGGTTGAACCGGCCGGTTTTTATAGAAAGTGAAGCCGGTTCCATACGAACCGTGAGCCCTGTTTTCAAAATTACCCCTCTGTGCACTTAGGACGACCTTATCTAGTTAAGGGTATTATTGGAAATTGGCTCCAAATCTTGCATTGAACCGGCCGGTCCGGAATGGTGCTGTACTGCTGTGCGTGCAGTCTGCTCTGGTTGGTGGCGTGCATCCGCTGTGCACTTGCTGCGATGGTCCCCACAGGGCCCCACCTGCTGTGCACGCGCTCACACAGGTGGTTCGTTGATTGGACTTTCGGAGTACTCGACCTTCACGTGTCTTTTAAATTTTAAAAATTCAAAACTTTTGTCGATGGTTGGTTTTGAATATATGGAAAGAAACATTATTCATTTGGTGATAAGTTCTAGTTGAAACCGCAAGTAATATATCCATTTTGATTATCTGAATGACCTCTTCACAATAGTGCACTCCATTTATATTTGAGATTGTTTTACAATGATGAATATTTAAATTACTATTTAGTTTTTTTACCAATTTATAAATACTCCATATATTATCTTTTCATGCGCATTTTATGTTTCTTTATCATCTAATTTGCATATGTAATCAATTATTCAATTATATGTTATTGATTATTTATTGTATATTATTATATTACACGGTTCAAAATATTTGTGGGCGGTTCAATTCATCGGTCCAAAACTATCGAACAAAAGACGGTGAACCATGAACCGATGGTGTTCAATCTCCGGTCCGGTCCTAATAACATGGGATAAAAGCAACGGGCCAGAGGAGGAAGCAACGGGCCCACGGATAAAAGCAGTCCACACCGTGGCCCTGTTTTCTTTTTCTTTAAGCTATAGATATGTATTTGAACTTGGTGAGTTATCCTTGTACTCAAATGCATATATATCAATCGCATTACAACGAATCCGAAGATAAATATGAAAATAAATGTAATATCAGTGATATACAAAAGACACCATTAGTGAAGAATATATTGACATCAAAAGACAACTCTGAAGCTTGAATGTACTGACTTGGTGAGTTATCCTTGTTTGATTTCAGCATTACAACTTGTGAAAGCCATTACAAAAATTTCTGAGTGAGTTCACAATTTCTCATCAGCTACTCTATAAAAAGAGCATACACAGATTGTGGCCTAATGGCCTATTGCGTGGCCCTGACTTGATGGATGTCTTGAGAATGTCGGATTGCTCCATGCTATGGAGGTGCAATGCAATTGATACAAGAATGCAACGAGCAGACATTCACCTAATTGTGAATTGTTGTAGCACACTTATCTAGGTGATGCTGAAGTTATACTGAAAGTTTAATTTTAAGACATTTGTTGATGCGGTTGTGCTAACCACCTGAGAGATAGTATGATCAAATATAGAAAGTTAATTCCATATATTTTGCTAAGATATGCAGGTATTCTTTTCAACTATTTGAAAGTTAGTATCTTTTGCTGATATTCAAAAGTTGAAGGTGGACCTGAAAGAATTGCAGTTCACAAAGATGATATCTCCACAGTGAACTAAACATATTAGGTTTTCATGGTAGACTTTTAATCATTGGCTTACAAATAGCTAAACTGAACAAGCTGTTTGCAAGATGTTTGATTGTACAAGGTGTTTTGGTTACTGATGTTCGAAACCATGATGCACACAAAGATATTTCTTTCATATGTGTTGGTTAGAAAATACATCAGATCGCATGGATTTTTTTTTGACAGAGGTAAACCCAGCTTTTATAGAAAGCTCAACATCCGGTCACAAGGTAGCCATAACAGGAAAACAAAAAGGAAAGAGAAAAAAGGAAAAACGATGCTGGGATTCCAGCTTACAAGAAACGTGCTAGCCAGCACCACCTCCTGGGAACCGGAAACTAGAGCAGAGCTACAGAAACAGAAGAGTAGCAAAAGAACTCTCTTGAACAAACCATCACGAAACTGAAAAAAAGGAAACCACTCAAGACGTCTATTAGCCGATAACGCCTTCAATCTCCATGTCATCCGTTTGACTCCAGAAATTCTCCAACAAGTCTTCAAAGTCTTGAGGTTCTCATCTAGGAATTCGGCGTCTTGATCCTTCAATAAGAGCCGCCATTTCTGTAGGAAGTGAAAAGTTTTACTGAAAATCTCCTTGGAATTGTGAGGAAACTTCTTTTCAATGGCCATTTTGTTCCTAATCCCAAAGCATGATAGACAGAGCAAAGAGTTTGATATGGTGCAGTTTATCCCCCAAAGGAATCCAATCATTCATAATATCCCCCAAGTTTTTTGGCGTTTTATCCCATCCCAAGGCTTCTTTGATACAAAACCAAACAATTCTAGCAGTGTGACAGTGGAAGAAAATATGTTCACAAGTTTCCTCTACCCCACACAGACAACAGTTCCTGTTGCCTTTCCAGTTTTTTCTTTTTAAATTAGCCCCTGTTTGAAGTCTATTCTGCGATAAGAGCAAAAAAAAAAAGATTTTAATCTTGTTGGGAAGCCTGCTTTTCCAAAGTTTATTCATACTTTTATTGGAGACCCCCCTAAAGGTTAACCTTCCGTACATCGATCTAGTAGTATATTTGTTTGATTTTTCCAGAACCCATTTAAATTGATCTTCCTCCCATGGATCTAGTAGAATATTTTAAATTGATGGCGTGGATTTTGAAACCTGTAGCGACACATGGGTAATAACCAAGAATCTTTGTTGGTATCTTGGTTGACTAAATTTTATGTTTCCATTGAATGTTTGGACCTATCTATAGTATATATATGCTAATTACGAAACCCATATGACTAATTTTAGAGGCGAATCTTTTAAGCCTATTTTAGTCCATGATTTGACAATGTTTGCTACAGTAAATAAATACTAATGATGGAAATTGAAAAATTTATCTACCACTACCTCAATTGATTATGTAATTTGTTTTTTATTAGTATTCATAGACATGCAACATTTCATGACTCATTGTGATTTAGTCACTGGATCCAAACATCCCCTTAGAACTTATCTTATGTTTCCATCTTTGAACATACATATATATATATATGCTTCTCCTTTCTATGACTCATTAGGCTAGTCACAGTGGTGGATTTCATTTTCCGGTTTCTAAGACTGCCACGTCAAACAAATACAATGAAACTTGAAAGAAACTACCACTATCAATACATAGTTTCGTTCTAGAGTTTCATAGACATTTAATTTCATAACTCATTACGAGTTGTTAACTATGCCGGAAGAGTTTCATCTCCATAAAACTCATTTCTTATCTCTCTTCTTAAATATAGTGCCATATCATAAAAAATACCTACATAACAGCTTAATAAATACGAATGAAACTTAGGAAACTAATATTATGGGGCCGTTATTGGTTTATAAGATCTACATTTAATCTCCCTCTCAATGTATGTCATCAAAAGATTTGATGTGATGAACAAGAGTGAAAGTGGTGTTTTACAGCCAAGTTCTAAGGCCTAGCATTATCTGTGGTACCAACCTGCGCGGAAACCGTGCTAACGCCCTCAAGAGCTGGAGCATGCGGCGCGTGGGCAGTGTAAGGCTGCAGCTCGCCATTGGCGCGGGAGGCAATTCTACATTTTTTTTTCGACCCTACTACCACGAGGTACGTATTTCGTTAAGAGAAAAAATTCTATGTTTGATGCCGCACAAGAATCTAGAATTTTGTCGCAAGACGAGCTTCAGCTGCGTAACGAGAGCTCAAGGTCCGTTGCTTGGGACTGGAATCCTTGTATCGCACCATTGTCAGGCAGTGGTCAAGGGCAGTCTATCTCAGCAAAGGAGACGCGAATTCGAGATTTGTTTTTTCACCTCCAAGCGTGCCATCTACCATCGTAG